CCCCCCCACAGTACAAAGCCACAGACTTCGTGGTGTCCGGGCCTGGGAAAGTGGAGATCACCTACACACCCACAGACGGCGAGCCGGTTAAATATCACGTTTATGAATTTGAGGGTAAGAAAGCTTGACACACGGTCCTGCTTCAGTGGGTCAGACCAGATACATCTCAGCAAACACACAAACATCGGCCTCGAATGAAAAATATCTTAAAGCGCAGATGCCGACTTTCATGATGTAGATATTCTTAAGTCATTATACTTCAGCTCTGCTGGCTCCACTGAAAAGCTTTGGGAGAATCTAAAATACAGCTTATCTGTTTTTGTTTAAAGTTTAAATGGGTTGAAACATATCAGACTGCACATCAAAAATAATGAACACACTAAGTTTGTCTTTGTTTATTTGTGCGTCTCTATGTGATGCTGTGTTTGTGACTGAACTCATTTGTGTGTGTCCGTCCAGGCACTGGCGGTGTAGCTCTGGCGATGTACAACACAGATAAATCCATCAGGGACTTTGCCCACAGCTCCTTCCAGATGGCTCTGACCAAAGGCTGGGCTCTGTACCTCAGCACCAAGAACACCATCCTGAAGAAGTACGACGGCCGCTTCAAAGACATCTTCCAGGAGATCTACGAGAAGTAAGGACAGACTCAGTCCTCAATCGCACATGCACCGTCTGTCTCTCAGCACACAACTGCAACACACTCCACCATAGATCAGATCACAACAACCCTCTTGTGTGTCACAGAGAATATCGTGCTAAGTTTGAGGCCAAAGGCATCTGGTACGAGCACCGTCTGATCGACGACATGGTGGCTCAGGCCATGAAGTCCGATGGAGGCTTCATTTGGGCGTGCAAGAACTACGACGGAGACGTGCAGTCGGACTCTGTGGCACAAGGTGGGATATTTGAAGAGTTTTTTTTTATCGGTTGGTTTGAAACTTTCTTTTGCTAACGTGGGGTTTCTGTGATGCTTCAGGCTACGGCTCCCTGGGTATGATGACCAGTGTGCTGATCTGTCCTGATGGACGCACGGTGGAGTCTGAGGCCGCCCACGGCACGGTGACCCGCCACTACAGACAACACCAGCAGGGAAAAGAGACCTCCACTAATCCCATAGGTAGGAGAGCAGCGCACACACCTGGGCTTCGGCAACACGCCAAACAAATAATCTTGGTTATTATTACACACATTAAATGTTCCTACACTTGTCGGCTACAGCTTCCATCTTTGCGTGGACGCGGGGTCTCCTCCACCGAGCGAAGCTGGACAACAACGCAGAGCTGCGAGTGTTCTCCGAGGCACTGGAGGCCGTTTGCATCGAGACCATCGAGGCTGGTTTCATGACCAAGGATTTGGCGATCTGCATCAAAGGGCTCCCAAAGTTAGTCTCCTCAAAACCTAACGCTCGGTTTATGTTTCTCCATTAAAACCTGTTTTTAAATGTTTATTTAATGTCTCACAACCCGTCCTTGGGAACCACCGATCAATGTAAGAGACATCTACACAGAACAAATACAATTTAAATGTTGGGAAGAGAAGTATTCTGGTCGGGACCTTTGCTTGGTGCGGATGTTTGGCTCAGATTATTTGGCCGTGTGACGGGTTAACTCTGCAGTCAAACAAAGGAAAATGAAACTAATGAATTTTCCTCTCTTCCTGTTTGCAGTGTCAAACGTGCTGACTACTTGAACACCTTCGAGTTCCTGGACAAACTGGCGGAAAACCTGAAGATGAAGCTGGCCAGCCACCCCAAGCTGTGATCTCACACCTCCTGCGCCTCCTGCAGCTCAAACACACTGACACAAACACACTAAATAAAACACACACTCATGCACACAGAGACGTCTACACAGCCGCTGCAGTCAACACGGGAGCAGGGAGGAGCGAGGGCTGGACGCCAGGACATCGAGTCATTCCTTAACTTAGTGTCCAAATAACCTGGTGGCCTCGTCCTGAAGACGAATTCCTGTTAATGCATCGCTAGTAGACAAAAAGTCGTACCGAGGCGATGACGCCACAACTCAAACATTAATCATGTCCAGAAATGAAGCTGGACGAATGGCCTTGTTTACCCTAATTGCACTAGGTCCCCTGCAGTGAGCGCCATGTGCGTCCTCAGTATATGTTGATCTGTGCGAGACAGGACAGAGTTGGTCTGAGAGACTTCAGACCCTCGCTGCCTTATTCCCTGTGTGTCAAAGTCACGGGTTTGATTCCCGTCTCTATGTCTTGTAATGCTAGATCAATACACCGTGAAATGTTCACTGTTATTCATCATCAAACAGATCATTTATGGACCGACGCTGTCGTTATTAATCACAGAGGTTCTGACTCTTCAGACTACGTGACGCAGATTTTACACTAGCATCAACTTTACCAGTCACAGTTGGTGCAAGAAGTGTATTTATTTGTACTTCCTTTGTGTGCGTGTCTTTTAATCTCCACTTTGTCATCATGTCCTGACAGAACACGATCAGAACTTTACCTGTTGGATCCCTGTGTGATACGATGACGCATAATAAATGAGGTTTCGAGTAAAGGTGTGTGTCGTTCTTGAGATGAAATGATGAGCTGGTGATTTAAAACCAGTGGTTTTATTCTGACTTTACAATAAAGTGTGTGTCAATGTAGTTATTCTTAGTATAATCACACTGAGTACATTATGTACAGTACAGGTCAGATGTCTCTTACCTTTAGATATTAAACTTGAAGAATACTCATGCCATTAAAAGTGTAAACTAAAGACAGGAACCTACTTGAGCTCTTTTATTTTTAAAAAGTTTTTTAGTTAATAAACCGTTGCCATACTTTTCCAAAATTGTCTTTTTAAAAAGTTTATCAAATCAAGTCGCAGCCTGTGCAGACCCACACATCACAAAACTGAGATGGACACAGACAGCGACACAAAGACTTTGAATCTGTACAATAATAACACATTTTGTTCTAGTTTTCAATTTGTGATTTAAGTGGAAAAGAAATGTGTAAAATACTAACACAAGTCAACAAGAATGAAAACAAAACATACAGGAGCAGAAACAAAAGAATTAAATCTGCAACTCATCACATTCGTTCACTAATCTGCCGATAATCTTTCAATTTTCTAATCTTCAAAATCAGAAAATGGTGAAAACTACTTGTTTTAATTTCCGAGAGCTGAAAGTAAAACCGTCAACGTCTAGTTTTATTTTACCAATAGAACAAAACCTGAACAGTCATGAAAGAAACTGTGAGTTTGGGTTATTTAAATTAAACCTGGATCAATCTCATGTGATGG